TGTTGCCGTGAGGTACACTCGAAAATTGTAAATGTAAGTGCGTCAAATCAAATTTCGAGCCGCTCCGTCTGTCACTTCGTTTGTGGTTCGAGTATTCCAAAAATGTCAGTGATGCGTTCATCCTGGTCTTGTATTTGCTTCCATACCTGTTCCATAATATAAAATTACACAACTTTCACTGGTCACACTTTGCACTCGTCTCACTTCTCTCAGCTTGCGGTTATGTGTAAAAAAGCCGACCCACGATTTGACAGTCTGAATGTACCGAAGTTCGGTAAAAGGATTTGACATTTACAGTGTGTTCGGTAATTTTTAACCGAATTCGGCGTTTACCACATTTAACAGATCGTATTGTATTTTTTTTACAATGTTCGGTAATTAAATATTCAGATTACCGAAGAAATGTGGAAGCTGCCAAAATCTTCTGTGGCTTTTAAAACTCTTACCATTTCAGATTTTTCATGTCGTTTTCGCGTGCAAACAAGTTCACCAGCTGGATTTGTTATGTAAGCATGACCAGTTCTAAGCTTGAGAACAAAGGGTTCAAAAGTAAACATCAGAAGAAATGGCACGGAAACCAATCGTTATATATGTTCTAAGGTGCACACAAAAAATAATCGTTAATAAATTTAAAAAAAAACCATTGGTAAAATTAAAAGTTAGCGTTGGTTCTTTTTAGTAGAAAGTATTTAGCATTCAAAACTAAAGTCCCGTAACTGTCAATTCAAAAGTAGCTCTCTTTCTACTTTTAAAAGTTGAAACTTTCAAATTGAATTGTAGAACTGTCAAACTGAAAACCTATAGTTTTTAAATTGACGTATAACAAATTTTAATTCAAATGATAAGCATTTTAATCGCAATTACATACGTTTTTATCTTAAATTTGAATTAATTTTAAATCAATTACTTTTATTTTTTAAAAGAAATAATCAAGGAAATTCCTTTTATTCTAATTTATTTTTTATAAAAATTATATTGTCCATTACAAAGCAGCAGAAGTGACGCTCCCGATGCTTTTACAGTATGAATTGTATTATTTTAAAGATTGTTGATCAAAGCTGGAATAATTTGCTCCTGACGGACTCGGTGTGGGGGTACTTGAATGAAAGTGGCATCTTGATAGGGGTGGGAGTCGAGGTGGGACTAACCTTCCTTTCCGGCAAGACTGAGGCTGCTGAAAATTAAAACATCTCAATTAGAACAATCGGAAATTCATTGAAAATTATACCAAATTACCGTCAATTCCAGCACGCCATAATTGTCTCCATGTTATGATAGAGTTTATGTTTCATCTAAGATTGCTTCCCTTCGTTGGCTACTTTGACGATCACCTGCAATCCGATGAAAATGAATTAGCGGTGGCGTACCACGATATTACCAACAATCAATACTAAACTAACGATTTTAAATTGGCTCACCACTTTAGTAGCCTATTGGTCCCTAGCAAACGATTAACGTACCCTATTCTAGTTGAAATTCTATTACTACACTATGTTTGTTTTGATTCGCTATGAAAGTTTGACAGATAACATCAGGGGTGTGTGGATTCATGCAGAACATGCAGGGGTGAGTGAAATAGCTTGGGACTGCTTGGGACCGTTGTTCTGGTACTGAGTGAGCCAAAAATAATAATGATTTTCTTCGGGACCCAGTGGTCTTAGAGTTACCTCTATGGTACCACTTTTTGGGAACCGATTCCAGTTCGAAAGAGATACCGACGGAAGAGTAATGTGGAAACGTAGAAGACACAGTAATATCAACAATCAATACGAAACTAACGATTTTAAATTGGCTTACCACTTTAGTAGCCTATTGGTCCCAAGCAAACGATTAACGTACCCTATTCTAGTTGAAATTCTATTACTACACTATGTTTGTTTTGATTCGCTATGAAAGTTTGACAGATAACATCAGGGGTGTGTGGATTCATGCAGAACATGCAGGGGTGAGTGAAATAGCTTGGGACTGCTTGGGACCGTTGTTCTGGTACTGAGTGAGCCAAAAATAATAATGATTTTCTTCGGGACCCAGTGGTCTTAGAGTTACCTCTATGGTAATATGGTTTATTTCTCACGCTTTCAAATTTAGCGCCATACAGATGATATCAGAAGACTGATTGCAACTATCAATCAGGATCTGGCAGCAATCGAGCATTGGGCTAAGGCTAACGTTCTCTACCCTAATCCGAAAAAGTCTCAAGCCATAGTTTTCTCGAAAGATGGCACGATTATTGCATCTTGCCAAATTGTGTTCTGCGAAGAACCGATTGTTCTCTCAGATAGTGTCGTCAACCTTGGACTCCGAATGGACAAAAAATTGAACTGGTATGCGCAGATCAACGATGTAACATCAAAAGTGTTTGGAACGTTAAGAACATTCAGGCGATTCGCCCCGGTACTATCTACACAAACCGTTCTTTACGTACTGCGATGTGGTCTACTATAATGGACTCTCTGTAGCCTTCAAAGAACAATTAAACCGATGTTTCAAGGCCTCGGTACGCTTCGTGTACAACATTAGACATCGAGAAAGCACTGCTGCTGTACGTAATACCATTTTAGGGCACGACATCTCAAAGAACTACCACAATCGAATATGTTGCTTCATAAGACAGGGGTATCTTGAGGCACTTCCGGATTATCTGCAACAACACCTGCAACGCGGATTGCACGGCCGATCTCGATGCTTCATCGTTCCTAGACACACCACATCGGCTCGAAGGAGTTTGCTAGTGTCAGAGACGCTCACCTGGAACGATTTGCCACTTGCAGCCAAACAACAACCAACTTTAGTCCTATTTAAGCGATGTCTTAACACACCTGGTAGAGGTTAACATAGGTATAGCATTGGCGTTCAAACATAGGTTATAGCACTACATTAACTTCAATTTCAATTACATTTGTCACGATTTGTAGCTTTTTTTTAGTTTTCCGTAAAGTGAGTTTCTTTCAAAAAATGTCTGTCAAACTTTCATAGCGAATCAAAACAAACATAGTGTAGTAATAGAATTTCAACTAGAATAGGGTACGTTAATCGTTTGCTTGGGACCAATAGGCTACTAAAGTGGTGAGCCAATTTAAAATCGTTAGTTTCGTATTGATTGTTGGTTCAACGGTGATAAATATTTCTAAATTTTGCTGCTTCCCATTATCGAATGGTGAATCTTATACCCGTTCACATTACAGTCTATATCACGTAATATAGGCTGTCTTGCAATGAGCACTTATACATAGGATTTCCAGTGAAAACTAGATGTATGAGTGCTCATTGCAAGACACCGTATATCACGTGATAAACGCTGTAATGTGAACGGGGTATTAGTGGAATACCTCCATACATAAAGAGAGAAAAAGGTGGTTTACACTGGATAACGATCCATAGATCCCATGACCTTCCTACTTCTGCTTGCCAATCCTCTGTAAGCCGTTTTCATCCGAATCTAGTACAGCCTGTTATCGGTCAACGTTGACCATTTGCATTTGCAGATTCAAAATACAAGCAATTTGCTGTAGTACAGTTTGAATCTCTGACTTTTGTCTGAATGCCCAAGAATTACGACTGATCTTTGAGGCGGCAACCTCATAGTTTTGCACTAACACTTGGGTATTCAGAGAAGTCTATGCTAGAAAAATAATTCTGGTATTCATTTGATTGCTGGTTGTCATGATTTTCAGAAAAAATATCTATAAGCAATTCTATTTGCCACTAAGTTCGACCCGAGATTAAAAGAAAAGCAATACATTGTCATCGTATAGCCGTATTTAAAATTGTATGTTTCAATCAAAACAAGTAAAGGTCCCATCCATCTTGAATTCTCAACTTATTCATTCTTATTTAAGATACTGCAATTTGCTATTGTAGACATGCAGAACCTCTGATTTGCCAACCGCATGGAGCCTAATAAAGAACGTTTTTCCGGGTTATACGGATGTTAGATGATCCATTTTTTTACCTTATTTCCCTTTAAAGCAATGTTCTTTGATTTCGCTTATCAGGGTGATTCATGCTGTTAATGAATTCAATAGATTATTAATAATAAAATAATTCTCCTCCTCCTCTGACACATAATGTGTATGTACACTGTAGTTTGTATTTGTTGATGAATATAAGGCCAGACAGACTACTTTGATAATTTTTGAGTAATTATGAGTTACTCAACTTTACTCGGAGCAAAAATATTAACTTTGAGTACAGCTGGCCTGCCCCTAGCGAGGAAGTTTTGAAAGATCTGCGACTTTTATTTAAAAAAAAAATAACTTTTGAAATTACAAGTTGAAATTGAAAGAAACACATATAATCCGAAAAAAAATGTTTTGATTTTGAATATTTAAAACTACGAAACTGGAGAAACTTTTAACTTTCATTATTTTTATAGGAACAATTTTTGTTGTTTTTGTGTGGAATTGGTGCGAGCGAAATCGAAAGCGAAATTTGCGATCGACGAAATTAAAATCACTCGATTCTAAATGAAGAAAATTTTTGCAATACAACCCTAATAAAAATATACCATATCACCAACAATAAAATTAACTGTTAAATACGTATTCAATGAAAAAATTGCCAGAGTCATATCTGTTTGTCTGTGGTGACACATTATAAAATTTAATGCTATTATAATTACCTACACAGAAAAAAAGTTGTTGAATATTACATCCAAACTCTTGCAACCAAATATCGGATTGACCATCCATCGGTTGTGTAATATAATGTTGTACGATGTACATCGATTTTGCGAACAAACTTACATCCATTGATGTAATATTGTATCTGCTTTTTGCTGTTACATCATTATTTCATACATCAGCTTGAATTACATTGATCGATATTACATTTTTTGTTTGCTGTGTATCGGTGGATTCTGGCCGAGATTCTGCCAAGCATCCGTCGGTCTATTTACACCATGGGTCTATATTCAGCATTTTTTGACAGCCAATCCCACCCCTGCACACTCAAACGGTTCAACCGATGAGCTGTCATCGCCAGTGAACCGCTTCAGCGAGAACATTTTTTAGCAAAAAAAAGCGAGACATCAAGAAGTGCGAGTTTTGTGTGTGGTGCCGCAGCAGCAGAGGAAATCCACCGTGAGCCTGCAATTTTTTCTCTTCCGGAGGCGAAAAAATCCCAATCGTTACCGCTTTTGGAACCCGCAAGCCTGTGACCGTATATTCCGCGAGCTGCAACCAGTGAAAAACACACCGTAAAGATGCCTTCCAGCGATCCTTTGCCACCGAAGGAGAGTGCTCTGTTCCGCAAGATTCTGGTGAGTACTGCCTGGCGTTGAGTAGAATGCCCCGGAGGAGTTGGAATCCCTCGCATCGGGTCGTTCCCATTCACGGAACGGTGATGCGGATGGTTATGCGACCGCGAGGTTGTATTTTTCTGGTGGATTTTTTTTTTCTCCCCGAGACTGGGCTAGCTGCGGCTCCAATGCGTTCTCGCTGTCTCTCGCTTCCTCCTCCCTTCTTGGGTGTCAGGGATGCCAGTTTGTTTTTACAAATGGGGATTGTGAATAATTCTGGAAATAAGAAGAATAAAAATTTTTATCCTGATTTAAATGAAGAATAAACAATATTTTAGAATTTCTGATTATTTTATGAAATTCAGAAATAAACTGCAATAATCATGCTCATTTTATGACATTCAACGTTCTGTACCTTTAATGTGTTTAATTTTCAGATAGAGCAAATGGCATTCGCTAATTGAAATGCATGTTCAAACGAGTTGTCTAATGCATTTAAAGTGAATCTAACTAACGCAACAAACAAAAATTGTAATATGTACCGCCCAATGTAATTCATATCTTCGGTCTTAGTGTTTTGCTTTCTGAACAAAAGTTCGTGGGTCTATTACAAGACCCTTTACATAACTGAGCTGATAAGGTTGCATCATTTGCTTATCGCATCGCTTTCCAAAATGAACTCAGATTTAATTCACTCTTCTCACCGAAGAGATGCAGTACGGGTACTTTCTTTCCACTATAACCGTTAGGACGTGGTCGACGCCGTGATTGACCTTAAATATATGGATGTGGTTTTGGTGTGGTGTTATTCACATTACAGCCAAGCTGTAGTGTAAACGGGGTATTAGTTTGCGTGCGCAAGCTATCAGTTTCGATAAATTGATCTGAAACCATTGTTTACTAAAGTACTTACGTCGATTTGAATATTAGCTCGAGAATTGTTCTGTCACTTAGAAGAATTACAGCCAGTTACGAGTTGATACTGATCCCATAAGATATCATTATAGCAGTAATAGGCATGAACATAAACTTTTGCTATGGTCCAATAACTTGATATCGAGTTGTGGAAAGTTGACTGTATTTAGAGAATTTTGATGGACAAAGCGATTTTGAGGACAATTGAAATGAAATTCTAGGGATAACACCAAGGTTTTCCAGAGATAAACTCCAAGACAGTCATGCGAAGAACTCCAAAGAAATTGTGGGAATAATTCCAAGGTAATTATGAGAAAAACTCCAGGTGAATTTTAAGGTAGTAATTCCAGAGCCAATTCTAATGAACATTCCTAAGAATCGCCGAGAAGAACTAAATGGATATTGAATTCTGGGATGAATTCCAATGAAATTCTGCGATTAATTCGTTTCAGAGAGAGTTCCATTGAAATTCCAAGAAGAATACCAAGGAAACCGAATATATTGAGGGTGCAATTTCATGGACATTTGGATTATAGTATCAAGGGAACTAGGGATTACTGCTAGGGTCAGTATTCGGCAAATCATTCTCAAATCTCATTCATTGAACCTCCCTGCGAGAATAAACTCGCGTGCGAAACTGGCAATCAAATATCACGCTTGAGGTTCTCATGAATTTTCACGCATCCACACTCAACGCCAAAAAATCATTCCAGCTTGAAACTTATAAAAACCACTTAAGCGTAAATTGATAGTATGATAGGATGTTTCTTTAGGTGGCGAATTCTAGATTTTGGGCCCCTCTCTCTCTCTTTCATTTTTACGATACCCTTATCACATTCCATATTAAGGATAGTGTAAAAGATAAAACTATGTCGCAACAAATTTTCACTATAATACCTGTTTTCTCTGACATGGAGTGGGAGTTGTTCACCCAATAAACAATTTTAGCTGCAGATTAGCTTATGCAGCCAAAATTTGCCTGTATAAGCTAAGCTGCAGCTAAAATTGTTTGTTGGGCAGCCGTGGGGGGCATGGCCCTAGCTGACAAGACATAAACCACAAACCATCGGTAGTGTCGACAAAATGTCTTAACTTCTACATTTAAAAATTACGGGTGGCGGAAAACGTAAACTCTTTCAGATTTTTTAAACTGAGTTTTTACAGCAGTTTAGGGACCTTCTAAGAAATCAATGAAAATTCATAGAAGCTATGACTTAAGAAATTGATTTCAGGGAACCTCGTAGATTGTTGGGAAACTTTTTAAAAGTTTAGGGAATGTTGTATAACTTCAAGAAACCTCTTAACTCTTCGGAAATTTCATAGCACCTTAGACAACTTTTTAGAACTTCGGGTACTGCGTAGAAGTGCAACAAGTTTTATAGGAGTTCAGATATTATTGTATCAGAAATCCAGTGAACTTCCGAAAACTTCAGTGAACTTCGTAAGAATGCAAATTATTTAATAGAACTTCATCAAACATTATAGAGAATTTGTAGAAATTTGGGGAAGCTCTTTTAAGTTTTGGCATTTTTCTTTACCTTTAAACTTTAATGGCTTTGGAGTTATTCAAGTGAAATCGTAGAAATGTTTAGAACCTAATAAAAATTCGGAGAGCTTCGATTTTTTTTTAATTCCGTAAAAGTGTGAACATGTTCAAATTAGGAAACTTCAATGAAGTTAATCAAACCTTTTTCTTTTATAGTAGGAAACTCTATAAAAATTCCGCGAACTTCTTTTGTCTTTAGCACATTTGTATAGTTTAGGGAACTGCATAGAATATCACATTTTTAATAGAACTTCAGGGAACAGAAAATAAACGAAATTCTTTAAAGTTCGGAATGCCTCATAGAAGTGCAGCGAATGTATAGTAGTTAATTGATCTTTGTACAAGTTGAGCGAATGAAATAGAAAGTCGAGAAACTTCGCAAAACTTCTTTGAATAGCATGAAATTATTTAAAAGTTCAGGGAACTTCGATTAGATTTTTGTGAATTTCGTGGAGTTCAGGGATTTTTATAGATGGGAATATTATTGAAATTCGACATGATGTTCATTCCGGGGACAGTGAATGAGCCATAGGAAATAATTGCAAGTTTAGCAATCTTGGTAAAAATATAGTTGTCGTGTGTAAGCCATAAAAGCAAATCGTATAAGTTCGTAGAAGTGATTGCAACTTTCCAGAAATTTACAGAACTTTCCACAAGAGGCTCAGGGCTAAGCTGAATGGATTGGAAAGAAGTTCAGGGAGCATTATTTGAGTTCATGGAGTTGAATTTAAAAAAAAAAAAACTTTGTAGAAGTATATGAATAAGTTTTATAGAACTTAGTTGATATCCATGGATTTTCAATAGAATTTCAATAAAGTTATCTGAAGATCAGAAACACTTCCACATAATCTCGAATGTTTTCAAAATTAAGACATATCTTCAAAACGAATGAAGAGATTCAACTATATGAGATGTTTCGTGTAGCAAAAAAGTGAATAAAAGATGAAAGCCAACCATCATAGGCAATTAACTAAGAAATCCAAAGCCGCAGCAGAGTTTATTTTAGAAAATCTGGAAAAATATCGCCATTCCTCCATGCAATGCAAAAAACGATTGCCCCGGTATTCATTTCTTAAATTATCTGGGCTGGGCCAGCTCTAGGTCTGGGGCAGCAAACTCGACTATTGGGGCACAAACTTAGGGTAGTTTATTTTAGAAGTGTCAATTTTAAGGCTCTGAACCAGGGGCCTGGCTGGTAGCCATGTTTTTGATGCTATCATCTGCTCTTGTCTTCCTGCTTATAACACGATTTTCTGTCCCTTTCTGCCATGTATACGTCAGGCGGGCCGTATTTAAATAAGGCCCGTGATGTTGCCTACTGTCAAACGTATAGGATTGATATAGGGTTGCCAGCCCCCTGCTCTGAACCGTTTGGCGATTTTTTAAACTTTTGGATGGAATTTGACACATGGAAAGTTATCGATTAACCCTGCTATCTGAGCATGGTTATTTCTGACAGACAAGAAGTTAAATTTTGACAACCGTGGCTCAAAAAACGGTCGATCGACATCACGGGGGTTTTCGAACATAGAAAATAAGTTTCGAAATGTCACTTTTAACCACGAGTTAAATTTAACTCAGCAAATGGTTCACAGCCTAAGTGAAAATTCACCAAATGGAACACAGCCTAAGCAGTGTTGGAAAAGTTCGCGATATTTCACGTAGTTCACCAAGGAAAAAGTTCGCGAGTCATAGTGAGTTTTCGTGAACTTTTCCATCACTGAGCCTAAGTGACAGTTCGAAAATAAAATTCAAACATTGCTGTATTATCGATCGCACGATTTTCGAACAGAAATTGATCATGGTTGCCAGAATTAATTTTCGATCTTGCCGTTCCGCCGTCTAAGGGAATCTATTTCCACACATTTCACCAAAAATAATGTTTCTTAATTCAAGGGCAGCAAGTTTGATTTTCTGACTAAAAAAAGGTATGCTAATTATACATTTTCACTAGAAATAGCCCATACCGAAGAGGAAACCAATACGAAACTAACGATATCAAATTGGATCAATACTTGCGTACCCCATTATTGTTCTAGAATCTGTCAAAGTTTGTGTTTGTTTTGATTCACCTTTATTTGACAGAGTAAATGAGGGGTTCGTGGATTTTCTTCAATTAGCTTGGGACCAAAGGTCTAGTAACAGAGGAAAAAACCTTCCAAAGAAAGTTGGAAGAAGCAGATAAACATTCAGGAGAAGTCGGAAGAAACTTTCAGAGAAAGTAGACAGATACTTCTGGGCCAAGTTAGTGGAACTTCTGGAAGAGCCCGTAAAGAGAAATCTAAAAAATCGTCCAGTATCAGTCAAAAGAAGTCTTAAAAATTGTTTATAGCAAGTCTAGAAAATAACTCCCAGATGGTACACACTTAATCTAGCTCGGTAAAATCTCCAACAGCCGATTACCTCGGCATTTACTTTTGCTGATATCTCTGCAAAATATCTATGTAGTCTCGGCAATTGTTTTACTGAATCTCAGCAAAATAAATTGCAGAACTACTCGGCTGTTGGATAGAAACTACACGAGGAAGCCAGAGGCACTTCTGGAGAAAACCGATATAAA